AGAGAGAGAGAGAGAGAGAGAGAGAGAGAGAGAGAGAGAGAGAGAGAGAGAATATGTTCTTTGTACGGTTTTAAAGCGCATTGAGCCCTTTCTTGGTGGAAATATGCTTTATAAATGTTGATGTACTTTATCATTATCACTAATCAAGAAGCAAACCACACCAGAGCACCCGCCTACCGCCTACCCTTATGAGTTCTCACAACTGTTATCTGTTTCTTGACAACCAAGCCCTAAAGGTGAATGCGGAAGAGACTGTGGACCAAAGGTGGACGGCGTCTCGTGCACGTAAACAGGATCTCTGCGCGATAACACCAAATGTGAGGCATCGTGGTGAAATCAGGCTCTCGTCAAAATAGTGAAATCAAAGAAACAGGAATTTTTCTGTAAGTTTGGCAATTTTTATCGAATTTTTGTTTTTTTGGGGGGTCAAACCTTTTATGTCCACATAGAAACATATTCCCATGTGAATTTTACGGAAACCCGTTAATTAAATGCACACGATATGTACTTTTCAGTTTTCGAGGACCCTCGAGCTATTGAAGTTACCAAACTTTGGCAGCCATTTTCTTTCGAAATTTAACACTAAAATCAGGCAACCCAACCTCCTTTAATCGTAAACATCTCGACTTCTATTCAGGACAGATGGAAAGTTATTTTTAAATTGAAAGCTTTCAGATAATACCAATAACTTTACATGGCCAAAGATTTGTGAGAGCCTGATTCCACTGCGTTGTGACACATTTCAGAGTTGTTTGTGTCGAAACTTCTGATAACATGTGTTCTGTATCCGGGTTCAAGGTCAGTATCTGTTATCAGTACGATTTCTTGGAACAATGTTATTGACTTCTACGCTGCTGGCTTCATAAAATAAAACAGTATTCATTTATTAATCTATTCATTTATTATTCACTTATTTGTTCATTTATTCATTTACTCATTCATTTATTTATGCATTTATGTACTTAATTCTTTTTCTATTGATCTGTTACTTATTTATTTATTTATTCTTTTATTTATTTATTCATTTATTTATTTATCTATTTATTTATTGCTACGCTCTGTTTTTCCCGACACCACGTCGTGTTTCTGAACCCTGACTACTGGACCTAACACCCGGCCTCCAACATGACCTGAACTAACCTAGGCTGTCAAGAAGACAACCGAATTTCTATTGAAATTGTAAACAATCAACCACACAGAAGCTGATAACAGGAGAGAACGTCAGTTATCTTATTCTCCGCCCCCCCCCTCTCCATAAACCCATAAATTACAAACGTTAATGTTGACCAAGCATGTAGGTGTTAGTATCAACTCCCTCCCCCCTTCCCCTGTCACCACCACCACTCCCCCCCCACACACACACACACAGACGGGGGGGGGGGAGAGAGCGAGAGAGAGAGAGTGGGAGAGGGAGAGACGGAGAAAGAGAGAGACGTGGGAAGAGAGAAAGTGAGAGAGAAGAGAGAGACAGAGAGACTACTACACAAAGACAGACAAAAATGGACAAGTATAACGGAAAAAACCACTAAAAAACCAGCCAACTATTCTAGTGTCACACCTTCGAATGACGTCACCCGTATGGTATCTCGACCCCTCTGTCGTGAAAGTTGTAGAGGTAGGGGTAGGGTATGGTAGGGTTAGGGTTAGGGTTTGGGGTAGGTTTTGTGTTAGTGTTAGGTTTCTTCTTTATTGTGCTTGTTGGGGTGGTCACTCGTTATGGAAGTCCTTCCAATCCTTCTGTAGGCTATAGGAGGCAATACATTATGCACGAACATTTTCCTGTTAGGATATCGTACATCATTACGAAACGAGGCAAACAAGTTAATAAAATACGAACATTCTCTTCCCACTGAACGTTTTATAATTTGGTAAATAAATCTACAACAGCACAGCCTCTTTCAGCGATTGTAGTATTAATATGACCTTTTTAAGCAGTTACTTGCTAGCGTCGTAAGCTCTTACTAAACCAAACTAGACATGATGCTAGCATAATAAAATGTGAGGCGTGCTGACAAAATGAGTTACTTCCCACAATCCACACATGGAGACATTGGACACAAATTGACCCTAGGGTCAAATTTTTAGATTCTCTGTTGATACTGTATTCTTTAAGTATAACATGCCTTATATTATTTCATACTTATAAATTGTGAAAACTTCACAAATAATTATATAAGCGTGATGTAGTGATTTCCATAGGGTTCGAATCCGAGAAGTAAATCATTTAGTCAGCATGCTTCACAAATGTAACAGTGTCTTACGTTTGTCTAGAAGTAGAAGAAGCACATTTTTTCACACCGCTGACGTTGTAGGTGGTTGGAGGGCGTTATTGGTAGATTTTTTCTGGGTCCTATTTCTTTTCTTACCCTCTGTTGTCTCTGTTTGCTTTTCTTCTTCCCCGCACAATAACGGCCGTTGTTATTGTGTCCATGTGCTTCTCTTAACCCAAACACAAACACTGTTAGGTACTAAATGTACTCAAGAATATGGGTCCTTTCTGTTTAATCTTGGCAGTCATGATGAATACATTACTATTATTTTCTTTATTGAATTTTATGGGTTTTTTGGGCAAAATTACACTGGAATTATGGAATAGCTGGGAGAAAAAAATTAGTTCCTCGCAGTAAAATTGTGCCTTCTGAATGAGCGTAAGTATGCCAAATTATTATTTTCTTTATTTATAAGATTTGCAACTTATAGTATGGCCACCATGTAGCGGCATGTAGGCTCTAAACAAGCGGGACCCACATTCTTCAGTAGTACCCACTGCTGTTGTAAATATTTCTTTTCCTACTCCTCTACAACAGAATGAAATGTAGATCTAGACTACGTATCTAGATCACCGTTGTAAGAACTTAAATCACATGCAATACGAAAATAAGGTTTTCAGAAATAAAATGAGTACATATCTACTTACCAGTGAATATTATAGACAGTGGATCCTTCTACGAGTACTTATGGTTTATGAGAAGGAGTGCGGAAGTCTGAAAAAATGGCGATTTGGTTGAATGAATTCCTGGTTTCAAGTTTCAGATCTTGATCAGTTGACTATAAGCCTAGCGGGGAACACACAGGCGAGACGAGTCACCCATCCAAATAAATATTTCCGAGAGGCCTCCAACAGAACACACGCACGACGCACACACTGGCTGGCCCATAAAGCGCTGACAGCAACGCTCGCACACGGCAGAGAGAGAGAGAGAGAGAGAGAGAGAGAGAGAGAGAGAGAGAGAGAGAGAGAGAGGGGGGGGGGAAAGAGAGAGAGTCGCTTACCTGTCGAGTTGCCTCTTGTCTCGGAGTCGAGAGACAGAGAGAGGGGGGTAGAGAAAGAGAGAGAGAGAGAGCAGGGAGAGAGAGACAGACAGAGAGGAATAGAGAGAGCGGAGAGAAGAGAGAGAGAGAGAAAGCAGGGGAGAGAGGAGGGGGAGAGAGAGGGAGAGGGGGGAGATATAGAAAGAGAGAGAGAGCAGGGAGAGAAATATATATAAATATATATAGAGAGAGAGAGAGGAGACAGGAGAGAGAGAGAGAGAGAGAGAGAGAGAGAGAGAGAGAGATAAAGAGAGAGAGAGAGGAGAGAGGGGAGAGACAGAGAAAAGAGAGGAAAGGAGAGAGAAAGAGACACAGAGAGATACGGGAGAGAAGGGATTGAAGGGAGAGAGAGGAGAGAGACAGAGAGAGAGAGAGAGAGAGAGAGAGAGTCAGTCACCTG